AACAAGCTATTATTAATGCATGTCACTATCACATATAAGCAGAAGGTCTGAAAAATTCAAATGAACATCATATCTCATTATCATAGTATTTGCTTTCATTTAGATCAACACCAAATGTTTTTTTTAAAGATTTGGAGGGTGATTGTTACATGAGCGGCTCATAAAAAACAATATTTTACATATGGAATCCTGCGTGTACGTATCTTAACTTATTCAGGGCTTCACAATATACGTTGTCATTTTACTTATAATAAAAAAAGGACTGTTAAAAAGTAAAATTCCAGAAATAGTTGTTAAAAGTTCAACTTGAAATTGCAAATATGAGACGTGACCGTTATTTTGTTGTCGTTTCTCCTAGGTTATTGTCGTCTCTCACGCCTTCGGATATATAAAGATCTGTTTTACGTGTGATGAATTCCTTTCGTCGATCAACACAACAGTAGCAACATCGATTCTTCTACTATAATCTCTACTGAATACAATAAGTGCAATCATTTTCGAAACGCACGGGGTACTTAGGTTCCAGAATTTTTATTTAATTCTTTGTGATTAGTAGTAAAGATGTTTGTCTCGATGTGCTATGAGGATAGTACTAGTGGATTGGTAGACGTGTCTTAAGCGATTGCAATGGCCAACGACCGCTTTAGTACTATATGATGACTTGTCTTCGGGTCAATTTTTTTCAGTGAATTAGGTTTCTTGTTAAAAGACATTTATTCGCATCTTCCTGTGGATTCACATAGTTTTGCGTAATGTCACTGCGACTGTCTGAAGTTGCTGTCCCATCGGTCGCAGCGGAATCAATCAATGACTTGATTGTCTCCGTTTATGTTGCAGTACATGAAATAATTTGTTAAAAACACAGCGGTTTAAGGTCAAATTAAGTTTTCTTACTTAGGTTTTCATTTTGGAATTGTCGTTGAATTATAATTTTTTTCTTGCTCCTGTAAGTGTTTGGAAGAGCTTTTTGTTTGATACTATTATTCTTTTCATTTTTATATAATGTGGTTTGGTGAAAAAATTCTTTACTCTTTCTTCGATCTATGTGCCCAAGGAAAGAAGAGTGACAAACTCCATTTCAATCCAAGAATATGGCAGTTCCTTTACTGAGAATTTTTCTTTGATTTCCACGTTTCTCAGTGTTCTTATATGATGAAACTCTGGCCGATAGACTTGCTTGATATGTTTTCATTTCTTGGTGAGGTTGATGATTCAACATAGGATTTTGAACGCATGCCTTTTTGTTCTTTTCACTTACCGAATTCAATTCTATTGTCACAGTTGTCAGGAATGAAGTCTGGTTTTCGTTGTATAACTATGATATATAACTACACAGATACAAAATGTTTTGCTATAGTATTTACATATATTCAATGACTTGTGAAAAAAATTTGAACATATTTTGTAAATTTTAAATTGCCTTTTTTTCATTTCATATAGTACTATTCTACGATATATACAGATCAGAAACTATATCACATTAGTATAAAAAATGGTAAACGATATGACAGATTTAATTCATAAATTTCATCGGCTTATTCACGAAAAATACAATGATACAAATGAGATAAGTCCATTAAGGGGAATGATTTATCTTGACGAGAAACGCTTGTGGTAAAAATTTCACCCTGATATGCCTGACTAGATTGAAGTTTCGGCTTGTCTTCCTACCTCCCAGGAGAATCGAAATAACCTCTCGTTAGAAAGGGTACAGAGCTCGGGCTGATTTCAAATTGTAGCTAGCCTCTGTACGCAACTTTTCATCAGACGGAATTTTGAAACTGCCTTCCATTTATTTTTATGAGCAATTTTGTGGATATGCTTGCAAAATAAGCATAAAAAAAGCTAGTCTACGACAGTAGACCCTACTTTTCTCAGCCCTGAGATCCAATATCAAAAATCCGCCCAATGAAAAGTTAGCTCTGCTTAAGATCTTTAAAATAAAAAAAAACATCGGTTATATGCCGAGTCAAATGGAAGTTATTTCAATTTTCCTGTCTAGAAACCGTGTTTTGAGAAAAATGTTAAAGAAGTATTAGAAATAGATTTTTTCATTAAAATCCAGAGCAAATTATAGTACAATGTTATATTGCATTGAACCGTTTAAGGGACGTAATAGATGAGGGTAGCTAACGCCATCTATCACGCTTATTAATATAAAAATAAATTATTTAATGAAAATGCTACTGGGAACGCAATTTTTCTGCAACTGAAAATCTTTAGAAACTACGGGAATTTCTCGCAAAACATGGTAGTAGATTTTAAGTTTCATGTGAAGAGTGTTTTGGGAACATATCGGTGAAGATTATGTTAACTTAATACTTCTATCTTCCTCTGTAGGGCAACCAGAACGTATTCCAGTTAATGAACGAACCATAGATGATCAATGTTTTTAACGAGAAGTAAAGAATGCTGGTGGTATGTTACTGGATATACTCAATAGTAATGCAATTTATTGGTGTAAAATAAGTGAAATGAACGGCAAAGTATATCAACATATGACACGAACTGTTACTTATTTATTAATTCAAGAATTGAATGCAACAGATTTGAATAGTGTTCAAAGACATTTAAGCAAAATAATCGAAGAACTTACTTTATTACTAAATGATTTACGTGAACGTCAGTGTCTGACTGATATACAAGTTCAACAAATGACTGTTCAGTGATCAATGGTTCAAATCGATTATCTTTACTTTTTACCGGATGCACATCAAGTAAGTATTCTTTTTTGTTTTCATTGTATTCTTTTGAGAAAATGTGTTTATTTCTGTATATAAAGTGCTATACCATTTCAACCTGTCATAGTGTGTTGCTTAGGACTCACTATTGGTATATCTCGTTACACCAGCCGTCTTCTTCAATCTATCTATGATCAAGCGACTCGTTCAACAACATTTTTCAAAGCTAGTAATGCTGTACATGCGCTAGAAAACTATGCCACAGAAGTTCGTTTATAATCAAAGACATTATTTGCTGCTGTACACGTTAATGATTTATGTACACTTATACCTCATGAGCAATTGACGGAACCATTACAGCATTTTCTCTATGATTATGTACCATATGGACAAGTGCAAGGATTAACTGTTGATACTATTATTGAGTTAGTTCGTTTTGTTTTACAAAATCAATACTTTATTTTCGATAACAAAATTTATCGACAAATTAAAGGTTATGGTTCTGATCAACCGTTCAATCATCTATTAGCAAATTTTTATATGTTCTATTGGCAACAAGATTTAGTTAAAACATTAGTTCATCAAAATGAAATAGTTGCCCGATATCTTAATGAAATGTTTTTTTACTCGAAATAAATTAATACGAGAACTTCAATCACTTCTTAAGAGAATGGTTCGTCAAAAAAATCCTCATATATCTATAGCACTTTGAATTGGAAAAAATGTCGCCTATCTCGATGTTCAAATAAGTCATATCAATAGTCAACTTCGAACTATAATTAATCACGATAATGATATTGAACCACATGGATTATCTTTTATATCGGATCATCCACCTGTAATGTATTCAACATTAATTCAAGCATGTCTTATGTGTGCAGCATTAATTCGCTCCAAAGTATCTGATTTTCACAATGAATGTCGTGATGTTGAAATAGTATTTTTAAATAATGGCTATTCAATGAATTTTATAAAAGAACATATTGAGCAATTGTTCCAAGATTTTCATATTTCCAATTGGAAATCAAATTTAAATCAAAATACCTATGATAAAATGCGTGAAGAAATTATCGAGTATGATCAACAACATCAAGAAATGAAAATAAAACAACGATGAAAACAACAAAGAGAACAACTATGCTACATTACATCTGATTTAAATGAAGAAGAGCTATACGATTTTCAACAAAATATTAAAACCTTATGGGAACACAATTTGAAAATTAACCACAACTCAATAATATAAACATTGAAGTCATTCATCGACCAAAATATCAACGGAACACAAAATGGCTGTCTATAATTATGAAATTCAGAGATTTTTTTTGTTTCTTTTGTTATACATTACGTAGATGGTTTTTTTTTGTAAACTTTATTAAAACTAGATATCCCATAATTGTTGACTCCTACTTTTTCGAGATTTAATGTTTTCTCTTTGCATTTTAGATATTTAGTGTTCTGTATAAATGAATTATATTGAAACAAACAAAACAATGACAACAACGAAATCAATTTTAAAAACACCAAGTGAAGATGCTCAAGGTCACTAGCATGAATTACTTTCACCAACACAAGTGTTGACTGGACAACAGCAAATACAGGAACCAGCACAATCACAGAAAGGCGAAGAGGTAAAACGCAAGGGAAAAAGCCGCGGTGATGGAAAAGCACAACGTCGGCGTGGATTACTTCGTCGAAAAGGTTTAGATCCAGATTGACTCACCGATTTAATTCAGCCAAACTTGAGCCTTCAGAAAAACCAGAAACAAATGAAAGAAGACGCTAATGATCATATACAGGTCAATGTGCCAGTTGATCAAGTAATATCTATCTTTCTTCTTAGTAAAAGAATCAATCAAACGTAAAAGAAATGAAATATCATCAAAACAATCATCAAATACAATTGATAAGTCTTTAAGTCAATTATCTATTTCTCAACCATCACGAAAAAAAACAAAAGATGGCCAATAATGAAATTGAACAAATAACTAAAAATGAAACATCAGACAAGAAACGTTCAAAATCTAAAAAAGAAATTAATCATAATAATGACTATTCTTATATATCTGATTATTTAC